CACACACACACACACACACACACACACACACACACACACACAGGCTCAGTCACATGCATAATATGAATGAACAGTAACATAAACAATAAATAATGTTAAGCTAGATAGGCCTACATACTCAGCATTCTGTTTGTAACTCCAAATATTCTGTTGCATATTCTAAGGTCATATGGATACTTGTAACAAGATTGTTATCATCACCGTCCGGTGCCTTGTCGACTGGCGTGGGCGATCGTGGACCTCCACTTCCATCTGTCTTGCGCTGCAGCAATGGCGTCTGTTGTTCTTGCTGCTCCCAGCCATATTGTCAACTCGTCCAGTATCTTTTCCCTCTGTCTGCCTCTGCCTCTGCCTCTCTTTCCATCAAACTTGCCTGTTGTTACAATATTCTCCAGTGCTTCTTTCCGCATTGTGTGTCCAATGAAATTTGCCTGTCGCTTTCGTATATTTTATATTAAGCTGTCGTCTGAAATTTGCTTCCACCAAGACTTCTTCATTTGTTTTTCTAGCTGTCAATGGGATACGCAGCATGCGTCTTATGAAAAGATGGTTACAGAAAAGCTAAAACAAATCTCGGGACTTGTACTTTGCGGTAAACAGCTATCCGCTTAGGTACACATGGACTCTGGTTGATGTCACAAACAAACATGAGGCGAGAGTTAGGTCTGTATACATTTAGACATCTACATATCTATATCATTTACTGTACTCCTGCTATTGTAAGCTTGTCACGTGGTGAAAGTTATTACCGTAACGATCAATTTTTGTGGCCTATACTGTATTATACTCAGAAAGATCGATACTGAGGTAGGGTCAGGATGAGTGAATGAGACGGTTTTATTTTGAGGGTATGTGCACGCACTAGAGAAAGGCTTGGTGTACTTTTCTTCAGGGTATGAAGGTTGGGGGGGGGGGGGGCGGTTTTTTTTTTTTTGGGGTAGAAGTTTGGGGGGGGGGGGGTCCATGTTTTCATCTTGTTCGGGTAGTATTGTTTTAGTAAGCGTTTTACGGCACTTGCAACACAATTTGGCCATATAAGTGTCTAAGATTAGACGTACCGGTATTGTAAGAGAGTTACAAGATAAAAAGAAGAAGGAAAGATAATCAATGGTTGATAGGAAAGAAGGCGCAAACCACCCCAGAGCACCCTCCAACCACCCACTCGGACAGCCTTCTCTTGCAGCAGCTTGTTAGAGAACACCTCTTGTAGGTCTAACTTCAACTTTTTCCTTCTGTCGTTTCTGTCTTGCAGTGTATTGTTTGCAGGTACTCTTATGTAGTTTGCTCCTTTTTTCCTATCAAACATCTATCGTCCTTATCCCCCCCCCCCTCCTTCTATTTTGTGTTTGTTACTCTCTTGTGACACCTCTAATCTTCTTCACTTATATATGACCTTGTTGTGTTGCAAGTGCCGTAAAAATCTTTTACTAAAACTAAAAACTTGCCTTATTCCCCCTATCC